GCTTCCAAAGAAGGAGACTCCACCACTCTCTGAGGGAGTATGTTCTACTGTCAAACAGCTCTTACTGTCAGGAAGTTCTTCCTAATGTTGAGGTGGAATCTCTTTTCCTTTTCCTGTAGTTTCAGTCCATTGCTCCTGGTCCTATTCTCTGGAGTAGCAGAAAATAAGCCTGCTCCATCCTAATATGACACCCCTTCAAATATTTAAACAGGGATACCATATTGCCTCTTAACCTTCTCTTCTCCAGGCTGAACCCAGCTCCATACGTTTCTCCTCATAGGGCATGTGTTTCAGCTCCTCCACCATTTTGATCACCCTCCTTTGGACAATGCTCCAGCTCATCAACTTGTAGTGCCCAGCTTATGGTGCCCAGAACTGGATGCAGTATCCCAGGTGAAACCTGACCAATGCAGAATAAAGTGGTACTATAGGAGGGATGCAGTGGCTCAAGTGGTTAAGATGCTGACTCTATTGATTGCAAGACTGGCAGGTTGGCAGTTCGAGGCCCAGGTGCTGCATGATGGGCTGAGCTCCCATCACTAGTCCCAGCTTTTGCCAACTTAGCAGTTCGAAAGCGTGCAAATGCAAGTAGATAAATAGGTACCACTTCAGTAGGCAGGTAAACAGGGTTATGTGCAATCATTCTGGCCACATGATCACAAAGTAGTCTTTGTCAATGTTGCTAGGTTGGCAGAAGCTGGGACTAGTGATGGGAGCTCACCTCATCAAGGAATGAAGCTCTACATAGAGTGGAGAGCCAAAATGATGCACCACAGCATTACTTTGTTGCCTGCTTTTTGAGATCTGCTGCACTGAGGGATGCATTGATTTGCCTTTTTCTGCTGTGGGGAATGCCCTTGCTCTGACTGAAAATATGGAGTGTAATATCAAAACTAATAGCTATTGGGAGTCAATGGTAGTTTCATATATGGCTAATGTTTTTGATTTTGCAAGCATAGTCCTTGAGCTACAAGTCAATATCTTGAGTCATATTGAAAATCTATAGGCTTTTATATCTCTTGTCTTCAAATCACCCGAAAACAACTTCAGAAAAATACACATCCATGAAGCTCTTTAGGATCACTAAAGTTCAAACCTATAGGCTCTTATACCTTAAAACTGTGACTTAAATGTCTAAAATCACTAGTAGAATGGGATGATTGTTATACCTATGGTAAAATATCCTGAGGGCTATTTTAGTCTATGCTTAAATAATGAATATTTAGCACCAAGGAAAACTGAATTATAAAGCTTTCATACATTTTGAATAATTTTATTTAATTTTCCTAGTTCATATAATTGGCAATTTTATATTTTGCACAATATATTTTAATTCAGTTATTTGTGGTGTTGCTGAGCAGGTAAACAGATGTTAACTGCTGCCTGTAAGATTTTCACCATGTACTTGCATGCCATGTTGACTAGAAAATTTAATTTTAAAAAAAGAAGCAGATCTGGTTCTCAAGAATATGTACTCATTATCCCATTCTGTGCTTTTTTTTATGTTTTGTAGAATTTTGCATAGCAGTGATACATAGTTGGTCCTCCGCATCTATGAATTCTTTATCCACGGATTCAACTATTCATGACTTGAAAATATTTCAAAAACATATAAATCCCCAAAAGCAAACTTTGATTTTGCTATTTTATATAAGGGACACCATATTGCAATACCATTGTATATAATGGGACTTGAGCATCCACCAATTTTGTTATCCATGTGGGATCCTGGAACTAAACCCCAGCAGATATCAAGTACCCACTGTATTATGTTAACTATTAAATAACTCTGGTTGTCAACCAGTCTTTCCCCTGTTTGACTGCTTGAGGGAATCAAACCATTGAAAATTTGGATTTGTCAGGATTTTTGAACATTTGAGTAATTCCAGTCTGAATACTAACTACAAAAATGCACTGATATGCAGGTAAATAAGTTTAAAGCAAGCATTTTCTTAGCCTATCTCTGAAGAACTATGTTTTGATTATAAAGTGTTTCTCCTGTTCTGCCCCATCCAACTGTCTTCTTTGTCTTGTTGAGACTGATGTTAAGGGAGTGGAATGATTTTACCTTGAATTATTCTCAGTATGCATGATAGTGATCTGCAAGTTTGTTCTGCATAGAACAGAACAATGCTTGAACACATTAATTTAGGCTATATTCACATATACCATAAGCTGGCAATCTTGTATCCTCCAGATATTTTGGACTATGGCTCTCATAATCCCAGATTGCTGGCCACGCTGGCTATGGTTTATGGCAGGTGTGGTCCAAAATATGTGGGAGTTGCCAGATTGCCTCTCCCTGATCCATGCAATGCATATCTTGGCACAGAGACTTCAGAAATTGTAATTGAGCTAAGTACTCCCAGGAACCCAGATTGAATTAGTTGTGGAGCATAAAGGGTCCAGGAATTGGTGTCACTGGGAGGGTGCAAGTGATGTGGACTAGACCAGGTGACACTCCACAGAAAGGGTGACACCCAGGTGGGGTCCTCCTCCCACTCTGGCAGAGGAATGAGTGCACCTCTTGTGGCTTCACCACCACCCAGCTGCTCTGAGGGGAGGAGGCTGAGGTGGCAGCAAAGGAGTGAGCATGCCCCTCATGGCTTCATCACTGGCTCAATTTACTCCCTGGGGAGGGAGCTGGGCAGGTGATGAAGCAATGAGGGGTGAGTGGTGGGGAGGGGCAGGCCACTATCCCTGCTTCCCCTCAGCAGCCCCCCACACCAGGTATTATGAAGCCTGGTGATGCCATTGGGTCCAGGAGGACTCAGGTAGAACTTGGTGGACTGTCTGTCCCTATATATGCCTGCCCAAGACCTGAAGTCTGTGGAGTCAATACATTGTGGGATGACATGAAAGAGAGCCTTCCCTGCAAGTGGCACCCCAGTTATGGAACACTCTCCCCTTGGAGACCCAACTGGTGCCAGAACTGGTGTCACTTTGGCACCAAGTCAAAACAAAACTTTTTATTAAAGCTTTTGGGGTCTGGTTAAGGTTATCCAATTTGCACATGTGCTATGATTGACATTATTTGAAATGATTTTAACATATATTACATTGTCTGGTTTTGACTGACAATTTTTTAAATATAATTTTAATCTTTTAAGTTAACAGTTATTACTTATTCATGTCAATTTATTTTATTGTAAGCCACCCTGAGATGTTTGGATATAGAGTTGGATATAAATATCTTAACAAAAACCAGCCAACCAACTAACCAACCAACCAACAGCACATACTACTCACACCATATGGAGGCATTTCAGTGTACTGGAATGGTGTTGACATTTACAATATGCATTTTGACTGACAAATTGAACTTCATCCCACTTGCCTGAAAATTTGGGTTGTATTGCCTTCCTGGAATTCTACAGGACAGGAGGATACCATCTCCTTACATTGAGAATGAATTTGATGTCCCTAATTCCTAGTCATCCTATTATTATTACAAACTTTATCATTATTATCGATATCTGTATTTCTACAGGGGTTGGAAAGAAGGTGGAGAGAGAATAGCATAGAGGTTCTTGCAGTTTATCCTAAATTGTTTGTTTAATTCTTGTTAAGTTAGAGTTTAAACAGTCCAGATGCTGGTATGGCTTTATTCTTGGTCTTTAAAGAAAAATCCCAGTGTTTATAAAGAAAGGGACAAGTAAATTGCCCTTTCTTTAATTAGAACTTAGGGGGTGGAGGGAATCATATGGTTTTAGATGGCATGTATTTTATTATTGCTTATTCTGTTCACCGCCCGGATTGGTCCGCCATAGGGCGGTATACAAATAAAGAATATTATTATTATTATGAACTAAATTTCTTAACTTTCCTAAATTCCTTAGAGCAAAAGCATAGGATGAAAAAAGGCTACATACCTAACTGAAAGACTAGTCTGAAAAACTAATGATAACAAAAGGCATCTCTTTTTTCTGTTTTTGTAATAGCTTTTCTATCACTGAAGACAATATCTTTCCCCCCTGCCTGTTCTCAAAGCAGAGACAATCCAGTTTGGATAAAGCTTTGTCTTGATCCCTGAGAAGGAACACTTAAATGACAGTTTTAAGATTTGCACATTAGATGGACCTTAAAATTATGCAGTTCGTAATTTTTTCAGCCTAATAATTTCCTCCTGTTCCTGTTGCTAGCAGAGTAGTTTCCTGCTATGTGGGACAATTACAATCTCACTTATGCCAACTTATTTAGCAGCTGTCTAAAGATGGATACATTTGTACTTGTCAAGCTATGCAAGAAGGAGATTCTAGGTGAGATTCTCAGCTGGCCAAAATTGGCATGATAGCTCTGGGAGTCACTGGAATATTGCCATTTTGCACCAGTTGGCTTGCTCCAGGATGTTCCTAATGATGAACGATGCCTTGCTCCCTTCGTCTTTTTTTTTTAAAGCAAGATTTAGCTGCTAAGGGTTTACAGACTATGCTCAGTAGTATATCAAGTGGTAATAATTTATCATGTCTTGGATGGTTAATCCAGCTCTGTTTGCTACAGCATTTGAAATGAATACACAAATGCAAGGTTCTGGGACTAGGAAACCAAAGATTTTTTGGATATGATTTTAAGGTCTCTAAGCTGAAGTGGCCAGGGTGGAGAAGACTCCAGCTTACTTGTTGTGGTGGTCCATGGACTAGGGCTGGTCCATGAGCCTTTGCCTGTCAGCCCCTAGAGAGTTTTCAGGAAACAGAGAAAAAATAGTAAACAGAGAGTTCAAATATGATGCTGGTCCTTGGCACATCGGGTGTGTGCTGATAGTTTGAGAAGCATTGATGTAGACCTTTCAATTCCCAGTCCATGATAACCAAGTCGAGTCTGCACTTGTTAATTTTATATGACATACCTTGTTGTTGTTGTTGTCTGTCTTCAAGTTGTTACTGACTTATGGAGACCTAAGGTGAAGTTTTCATGGGTTTTTCTTGGCAAGATTTGTTCATGGGGGCTGCCTTTGCCTCTTTCTCTGTGTTACTTGTGTACGGTCATCTGGTGGGTTTACATGGCTGAACTGGGATTCAAACCCTGATATCCAGAGTCATAATCCAACATGCAAACCACTACACCAATCTGGCTCCCTATCATACATACTACATCATTCTATTTATTATCATCTCAAACAGTGAAGATTGAGCAGCATATGTCTGCAGGCTGTATGTACTCTCTTTGGTCATTCCTTGCTGCCCCTAGTAAAAATAGATAGCAATAGCCTTTCTTTTCCTTCCATTTCATTTCTGGAGGTGGTCTAATTTCCCAATCTGTGGAGCAGGAGGACACTCCCAACACTTTCCTACACTATAGAAAACCACTACTCTTACCACTGAAGACCCCAGTGAGTTGTAAGAGTACAGAACTTTCCCTTGCCTATAGGAAGTTTCCCAGCCTTTCTTTACTGGGAAGGGATGTGAAATAGAATCTCTTTAGGATTCCCAGCTGTCATAAGAAAATCCTGTGCTGTAGACACATCTAGTTGTCAAATGGGATGTGTAAATAAATGGTATATTCATTATTCCTACTACTCCCAAAGAGGACATCAAGTTTAGAGCTGTAGCACTCCTTCCACTCGTCATCGCCAAAAAGATGACAATCCTGGATACCAAGGCTCATCTACCTTCCTTTTTTCCTTGCTAACTAACCAGAGGCCTGAAATAGTGCTTAGAACTTCCTCCTTAGATCAAGATAGGCAACCTGTAACCTTAGAGCCATGTGAGAACTTCAAACTATTTGTATGTAGCCTTCAGCCTAATTTCAAAAGTTCTCTTATTAGTGGTTAGCAGACCTGCAGTCATGGGGCAGCAATGGCAGCTTGTTCAGTCCAGATGTCTTTCTGTCCCCTCTTTTCAGAACAGAGACAGGCTGGCAGTTGATCTCACCAGGTTGACCTTGCTTATTCACATTTGGCTCTCCAAATGTGTGGGAATAATTGGCCTTTGAGCATGCCTGGGATGCTGAGGCAGTATAATGAAGAAGCTGGAGCAGGGGAAAATTTCCTACATTACATCAAGAGTAATGGCTATTTTCAAGGAGACACAATGTGTTAATCATGTTTTAAGCAGGAAGTGAGCTATGAGATTGTGAGCTCTGCCAAACAGACCTTTTTATCTCAATCTGTTTTAGTATCCCCCAATATGAGCCTGCCTAAGTTTTAAAATCCCTAAGGGGAGGGCTATCTCTTGGTCTAACCGCCATCACAGGCATATTTGTTGAGGACATGAGAGAGGTGTATTCTTGGTGGCTGCTCTCAGGCTGTGAATGTCTCTCCCTCATAAGTCTAGATTGGCCCCTTCTCTGGCCTCTTTCTTCAGGCAGGCAAAGACTTTTTTTGTTGCAGAAACTCTTTTAACTAGGGCTTGCTGTATTTTTTAAAAACCATCATTATTATGTTTTTGCCACTTTCTAAATTGCAGTAAATTAATGTTTTTAATACAATTGTTTTTAATTGTTTTTATAACTCTGTATTATGTCTTGTTTTAATTATATCACATTTAAACTTATATTCTAAGCTGCCTTGGGTTGCATATTGAAAGAAAGATGGGATTAAAATAAAGTAAAATAAAGATGACTCTATTCCTCTTCCCCCAAGTTTTAACTACAACAGTGATTTCAACCATTGTCTTCACTGGATACCATGTTAATCCTCTGCTCTCACTAACTCTGGTTTCAAATATCTTTTAAGAGGGAACCCTTGTTATAGTAACACCATTACCAATGTAACAATAGTTGTTAAAGGTGTTAGTGGAATTAATTAGTTTTACTAGCGTTAATATGGGGGAGCAGGGGGAAGAGGTAGGTCATCTTGTTGTCCATGCCCACCGTGGATAAGAGAACAGTGCTCATTATATCTTCAGCAGCCCATAATAAAATTATTCATGATTGCTAGTGGCCACGACACCACTTATGTGCTCATCCTGCTGTTCTGGCTTCTTTAACCTTCATTATTTTTTAGATTAGTATAGTGTGTATCCCACATTACAGATGGATTGATTCAATAATGGAAGCCATGGCCTTGAGTTTGCAAGACCTGAGCAGGGCAGTTGGTGACCAGGGTTCCTGCAGGTGTCTCATTCATAAGGTTACCATAAGTCAAAGCTGACATGATGGAAAATAACAAATAGCAGGTATCAGCTAAAAAGTATAACAGCAGGATTAAAAGACTAGTTATGGCTACTGGTAGCAGCAAATGGTAAAGTGCTGTATGCATAAAGGCTGTGAAAATGTGCACTTAGATGTGTACTACAAGTGAAGTAGGGAGCTCAGAGGAAATTTGAGGACCAGAGATCAGAAAAGCAGGCTTAAACAGAAACCAGCCGCCCTTTGACAAACACTGTTCCACCCTGCTCAGGTAGGCTTTGTGATCCTAGGGAGGTCAGTAAAGGGTCCAGTTCTCCTTAAACAGACAGTATAGTAGCAAATAAAGCAGAGCCATATTCATCAAGGCCAGGTTCTCATAGATAAAACAAAGATTGCATCTTGAGTCGAAGGTTTGAACAGTAGAGCAGAATCAGATGAGGACTAGACATATCAGCATTTTGGACAAAACACTGGCTGAAGATTTCTCACGTACAGGGAAGGGAGCTGTTGCTATAACAGGCTGCAAAAGCCATGTGAGCTTCCTGGGATCTATCAGTGCTGTTGTTTCACTCAGAACATCACCACATGAGCCGTGTTCTCGCAGCAAACACATCAGTTTTAAATATATAGAAACATATTGGTTTCAGAGCATCCATTATCACATGTCATGTCCACTGCACAACTCGGGCTGCTTCTGCCATCGTGATCTCTTCTGGACTCCCCCTTTACTCCACCTCCCTGCCCTATCCCTACCTAGCATGCCTTTCAGTTTTTACATTTTTAAAAAATTCTCACCTGATCATGAAATTCCAGAGTTCTGCTAATGAGATTTAAGTTTAAAAGAAAAAGAAGAAAAGAAATGGGGGGGGGGGGGAAGGCAATCAGCCTCTATGGGAATAGCGAGGGGGAGGGGAGGCAGGGGAAAGAAAGGGACAGTAACACGATATGGTTGTCAATATTGCAGCTGCCCCTGAAGTGACATTTTACACCTCAGGACCAATGGAACTGCAGCGAGATTAGGACTTTACTGATGGGTTTCCCCTATCAATGAAAAGGGATACCTAACCATGCTTTGGAAAGACATCAGCTTTGGGTTGGAAGTGTTGTCATGCGATAAATATTGCCAAAGTCACTTTTCCCCCCAGCTGTAATTGCTGTTTAAAAGCTGCAGGTAGTAATCTCCTTAGTAGTCTCTAGCACTCACAATAAGAGTGTGTGGAGAGGATGTTTTCTGAGTCTGTTGATCTCAACAAAGCCATGTCTTCTGTTCTGGATGGAACTGGCAGGAGGAGATATAGGTGCCTCATTCAAGTGATGTTCTAAACAGAGAGGAAGGGATTTCTGTCTTCCCACTTTTACAGCTGCTTTTAAAATGTCTCAATTTCTCCCTCTTCCTCCCTCTTTCCACCTTTGCCTTCAGCTTTCTTCACTTGGTGCAAACTGTGTTCAAATTGCCAAAAGAGTTTGCACTCAGTTAATAAAGTAAGGGGAACAGGAGAAGGGGGAAAATGTGCCCTTCCCAGTAGGTTCAGGGAAAAGCAAATTGCTGCAGCCTCTCCTAGCTTGTGTGTTTTTTCTTATTAATATTTTCCCCCCTTCTTGACCACACTCTGATGTTGTTTGGCTGCATGTGTCCCAGTTTTAATGTTTGAAATGATGGCTGGTCTGTTAAAACTGTCAAACATGACACACAGAGAAATCAGTGAAGGGCAAAGACTATCTTGTATTTTTATGAGGATCTTTGCAGTACTGCAAGTATATTAGAAGTTTTACTGTTATCATTTTGGGAACTGAAACTGAAAAACAGGAGAGAAGGATAGACAATGGGCCTTTGCAGACTGCCAGAAATAGTGCAAATTGAGTCCACTTTAAGGGTTAGGGTAAGGGTTAGGGAATTATGGGAACTGTATTTTATTGTGGCACTAAAGCTCTCTGACAGAGAAGGCTTGATGTTTCAGAAAAACAAACAAACAGTTCCCATGATTCCCTAGCTAACCCTAACCCTTAAAGTGGACTCAATTTGCACTATTTCTGGCAGTCTGCAAAGGCCCAATGTCTGGATGCCTGGAAAGAACAGTGAGTTGAGTTGTTTCTCTTATTAGTTGTCAGATAAAGAAATACTTTCACAAGCCACAAGTCAGACCACCAAATTTTCAAATACTCCCTGCTTTCTCTTATTATTACTATCCCAAGATTATTCTCCATGATTTCCATGAACTCTCTCTCTCTCTTTGTGTTTGTGTAGGAGCCATATGTGCTGGATCTACCCATAACATCCTTGCCCACCCATTCTGAACCCTTAGCCAACAGCTGATCGTATGAGGCAAAAAACAAAACAACAATGAAAAAAGTCATTTGCTTCTCAACAATTAAAAGATTCATCTACATCTAGGAATAAGATCCATGTTGAGCAGGAAAAATGAAATTATAATGTACAACTGTCTGTATCTTCCAACTAAAATTAAAAAGAAACTATGCGTATTATAGAAAAGCAAGCGTACTGGAGTTTATTCAGAGAGTTATTAACTGGAGGCTCCAAAGCCTATAATATATGGATCAGGACGTTAAGATATTCACAGGCTAACTACTTGCTTTAAAAAGCCCTGTGTGCAACCTACAGAAATGCTGTTTCAGCTGCATTATGTTAAACAAGGCTCCTGTCCAATGCCTGATCAAATTAGGTTAATCAGAAATGCTGTCCCAATGGATGTATCCCTAGACCTTGATTAATGTTTAAAAGTGGCATTCTGACTTTGAGTCAGATTTCAATTGCTTACTGAAGTCAGCATCTGTGTAACTGTTCTCTAATTGCATTTTTTAAAAAAAGAGAAAAACATTTATATGCTTATTTGTAGTTTGGTAGAGTTTATGTGCTCTTTCTCACAATTTCCTAAGGCTCTAAGGGGTGGGAATCATGCAGCCTTATATTAGATGTTATTGGTCTGTAACTTCCAGCATTCCTCACCAGGGCTTATGCTATCAAGGGTTGTTGGGATTTGCAGTC